CGTCAAATTAACCTTTCCACCGGACGTCTTCGTATAGAAAGCGAATTTTTCGGCCTTCACCCTCCAAATCCTCGCTTAATGGTTATAATGTATAAGTATATAAAAATAATAAACCGTTGTTGGTCACGAAAGTCATCGTGTTCCCTCGAGATCTCGTGAACTTGCGTTTCGACGCCAAATATCCGATAGTTTACGGTATCGTAAAACCAGTTAAGTTGTCCACGTTTACACTTTATTGTATGCTTATAGTGTCGCGTGCTGAATTTCGTGAATGGTGGAAAATGATTGCTGGATTTATATAAGAATAAGAAAGGAAAGTCGTTGATTTTTTTATGGAGCCGGGTAATATAGTGTTTCACTTTTCGAGGGGAATTGTATAGAAGAGTAATGGGGAATTTTCAAAGTTTAAGTATTTCAATAAAGTGTATCATGAATTAATGAAAAATAGAAAAGTGTTTTATTTAAAATTATTATGGCATAACATTTTCGCAGCGTACACTCTTTGGTTTTAGGATATTCTTGCTCTGAAACTTGTTTCCAAAATTCAATAGTTGAACCGTTTTGTTTTACTTCTTCTACAAAAGCTTGAGTAGCTCCAACTGTATAGCCGCAATATCCGTAGCAATTTTGACAAGGGACAATCATTCTTCAAAATATGTTAGACCATCTCATAGATGGCTTTGACGCAACGAAATCATTAAATCTATTACTAATATCTTCTGTCAGTCTATGTAAGTTGCATGTATAATATGTAATAATAATTTCATACTCGGGTAATATTGTCAACATTTTAGTAAGACATGAGAAATTAGTGAACCAAATTTTTCTCGAAGAGTTTAAATTTGTTATGGAAACTGAAAAACACTGAGTGCTAAATCTGAAATAATGTCCTTACAGTGATATATTTTGTGATTGTAAGTGTTTTACTGCATCTGTGAAAAACGCCATACCTATTAGCATCTTTACCAATTAGCATCTTTAAGTTCTGCGAAAGATGTCATGATAGATGAAAGATGTCATAGAGAGTCACTTTATTAGACAAAATTACGATATATTGTCTGGAAGCTCATCTTTCTCTATTTCTTGTATGGAAGCTTTACAGTCGATGGGTCTTGGTGTTTGAGACACAATAATGTGGTCTTTCAAATATTTAGTTTAACACCTAGTATTGTCTATGAATAATACAATATACTTGGATAAAATTGGATCTTCCGTTGTGAAACTAACTAACTTTTTAATCGGTACAAAAGTTTTCGATTTACACCATTAAGGCCCACTTTTATCACCTCTTGATAAATTTATCCGATGGATAAATCCAGTTCTTAACCAATGACAATGAAAACCGCTGTTACTATCTCTTAGATTTATATAGTTTATCAGGGGGATGGTAAAAGTGAACCTAAGGGCATTTTTTGGCACTATATACTTTAGTACTTTAGTGCAATAAGGTGTTTCAAAAAACTTCTTTCAAATCTACATAATTTGTTACATAACGAAGAAATACAGCTAGTTGTGCTTCAATGTCATTTTCTCGAGCAATATTAAAGGCAATAATAAATGCGTCTCTCATTGTAATATCTGCTTCTTTCATCATTGACGTAATTTAATGCGCAACCAGGTGGGAATTGTTGACTGAATGAATACTGGTTTGTATCATGATGTCATTTAAGATTACTGGGTTTGAATTGAATAAATCTTACTTAACATAAAAGTCAAGTCCAAAATAGTTATCTCAGCATCTTTAATCATTGACATTACAGTGGTACCAACAGTGAAGGTTGCAGCTCATTATGAGAAAGTCACCAATATTGAATTGGTATGCTATTGGTTTCAGAATCTTGCACTCCTTCTCAAAATTAAAAATTACTATGATACTACTGAAAGAAATAAAACAAACCTTAAACATTATTTCTATTTTTTTGTAGTACTCTTGTTTCGGATGCCGTTTCCTATATCATTTTTCCTGCCCATCGTAAACCAGATAAAAACTTGAGCCCCCATCTATAAAGTCCAACTGATCCAATTCCGCATAGAGCCTTTAGTTTATTAAAACTTTCACTACACATGTGTAACTAATGATAAGTTTTTCAGAAAAATTTTATCACGTTGTAGACTTAATGTAGACGTAAAACCAAATTAAAGTAAATGTATCAAATTAAGAGACATAATGAAGATTTGGTACAAACTTCAAGGACTTGGTATAGATTAATAAGAATTGTACTAAAATTTTATCCAATCTCGAAGAAGACACTTTCGGATTCCATATTGACACAGATCCAATCGAGTAGTCTTAATGCAATTTTAATAAATAATGTAAACTTTATGCAGAGTTGTCAAACTTGATGTAAACTTTGGGAAGATATGAAAATTAAACTAAAGCATAATACATCTACTCTCCTAGATGTTCTGATTGAGAGTTGACTTGATACAAGTATTTTGAAATTTGTATGCAGAGATGAAGCATTGGTGGAGACTTCATCAAGACATAATGCATTTATTAACTTAGAGGCACAATGGAGATATGATACAACCTTCATACAGACTTGATGAACTCTTGTCTCTGTTCATGCTTGACTCAACAAAAACATGGTGGAAACTTGATGCAGAAATCATATGGACTTTGCTGGGATTCAGACATAATGGAGGTGCAGACAATATGTGAAGATTCAGTGCAATCTTGAAAGACACTTGATACACGCATATATTCGGTATTGATGCAGACTTGATTATAGAAACTACACTGTGTACAAAGTTGATTTGATAGAAAGTTGGTAAAGATTTGATGCAGAGATGATATCTCAACACATCTTCAGGTCTAATTTAGCAATGGTGGTAGCGAATATTTCCACCCGAATTTTATTCGAAGCTTGTTTTCAGTTTATACAAGTGAGGTTACAGTGAAAACGAAAAAATAAATGTGGAAATATTGTAATGCTGAACACTACGGAAAAATATTGAACTGCAAAAAATATCCAATAAGAATTAAAGAAATAATTGGTTGAGTATTTTAGAATAAAGTTTAAATAACAAAATAAATTATTATAATCAGGTTCTAATATCAGGCTGAACCAATAATGTTCTTTTGTACCTTCAAAATTTGTTGGCATAATAACGTATAATGCAGCTGCCATGTTAACAGCTCAATTAATTATACAAAGCGATTTTGATTTTATTAATGTATATACTTGAACCTGTCATTCGCTAAACCTATTGGTTAGATATGTAATGAAAATTAATACGTTAAAGGTTGTTAAAATTGAGTTATAATGCAAAAACTTTTGATTTGATTTCTTTAAAGTTGCCAGTTAATGCTAAGAGGTGTAGATAGAGGTGTAGATACAGATTTTTGGTTGATGGTAGTGGAAAATGTTATGGGCAAATATGGGAAAATAGCGTACAGAATTTCGTGGTTAATCTATTACATATTACATCTATTACAAGCATCCTCAATTTTTCTCCTTCTTTTGATACACCATAATTGATAACTCTGTTAGATCTATTACACCATAATTAAAAGTCATCGAATATCAAAACAAAACATTTAGTTTAGAACCAAATTCAAAGTGCAAATGACATAAATATTTTATGCCAGTTTCATTAAGATTGAAAATGGCACTTGGAGCCTTGATAAACCGGAGTAATGATGTCAGTAAAGAAATAAAGAGACGCATTATACTGGCTAATCGCTGCTACTATGCAATGCCAATATATCTGCGTAAATCGAACTTGTTGATCTACGTCGCGGAAACAAAAATAGACAAGACGCTATTAGCAACATTTGAAAGAAAAATCTTGAGGAAAATATGGTGCAGGAAAAATGACGTCTGGAGCGAGATATAATTTTGAACTGTATTACTTATAGAGAATTGGCAAATAGAGATATAATAACAACGATCAAGTTTGGCAGATTTAGATGTAGCACGTTATGACATGGCCATACCAACGAGGCGAACCTTTGAGGAACAGGAAGACCTAGATTCAGATGGAAAGATGGAGTATCTGAGGATGCGGGAAAAGTTGGTGCGGCTACCTGGAGGATTCTTGCAAGAGATCGAAAAGAATGGCGGATGAGGCTAGAGAAAGTCGAGGTCCCGTATACGGCTGTAAAACTACTGATGATGATGATGACCAGTTTCATCGCTTATGTCAATGCGCTAAATACACACTCTTATGGCACAATGACTGGGCATACTTACTAAGGTATAGTTTTGCTTATCAGAACCAAAAGGGGATTTTGATATATGGGTTATTGATTTGCTCAAAATCAGTGAAATTGAATAAAAATTTGGTGATTCGGTAATGGTCAAAGAAGTAATATTAAAATTATTCCTCCCCGTGTTGATAAATTGCCAGCCATGCGACGTTTATTCATTTAGACAAGTGCTAATTTATGATATATATCTGCAAAAATGCGAGCATTTTTGCTCGAATATTTTTGGCACAGACAGGTGTTGAATATTTAAGTATAACAAAAAAAATTAATTAAAGTGGAGTGATCGCATGTTATGGTTTCTTTGTAAGTAGAAAGTATAAAATTATTAATTAAATTATTATTTTGCAACAGTTCTTATATACACGGAAAAATGTTCTTAATAACTTTCATTGCGGTTTAGTCGAGTTTAATGCATTAAATTAACCTACTTATTACATATCAATTAAATCAATTAAACTGTTTGTTTATATAGACTTATATATTTATCCCTGAAAACTTTATCTCGGTATGTTATCTAATACTTTTAGGAGGAAATTATCCGACGGAAATTATAATGGATCACTTACTACTGAGTATTTCTAAGATAATAAAACATTTTATATCTTTTGGGACTAAACCAAAAATTTTTTGTACATATTAAAGTTAGGTTAGCAAAGTAGCAACCGACGGCAATGCTAAATCATATTATATTTTTCAAAGATTGTTATAATTATTTCTTTGTTGCTTTGCCAATCATAAATTGATACTGTTTATGGAATATTAATGGCATGTTTAATTTTTTTCTTACCAGCACTTTCTGTATTTCCTGGAGTAGTGGCTCTTTCCCGATCTCGTTCCTCGACATCCTTACGGACAAGTCCCAAAATGTTATCGATGGTGTGTCGAGGTCCCGTATTGGGACTGGATACCATCCTCAATGGTTTCACATCTAGGCCGAAACCCAGCATACTACCGGTGTCCTCACAACGATCCGAATCCATCGCGAGCTTTTAACAAACTGCTCCCCATCGGCTACCAGGAGTAGCTCGGGGCGTTTATTTGAAAGGGCGGAGCTCGAATCTGCGAGTCGACCAATGCGACTGTACCCGGAGTTTCCATGATGGTGTCCATCATCGGAGGGGATGCCGGAAAGAGGGGCACCACACACCAGGTAGCCCGTGTCCTTTCCCCCCTTTCCTCCACCTCAACCCACCATCGTCTCGGGATAATGTTTACGGTAGTTTATTGTAAAAACGTTTACGTGTCGACGAGGGGTAATTGGTGTTATGTTTCAATTTCGCGGGGATTAGGAGGTTGGTTTTAGGACCGGAGTGGCGAGAGGGATAATGAGGATGGAGGAAAGGGTTGGGAGGGTTGATATTCTCCTGTTTTAATTGGAAGGGATGCTTGGACAAACCGTGCTGAAGAGTTTAAATTTAAAAACAAAAAAGAACATCAATTTTTAGTTTCTACGAAATTTTAACGTTTGGGTTAAACGAGACCGGAGTTGGGGTTGGAAACGAGGGCGGCCAAAAACAATTGAATCGTTTCGCGGAATGTCCGAAACAAAAAGGCGAATCGCCGGCATCCGGAAACGCGCAAACAAAATCGAAGGTGTGCCGCGCGCAAAAACTCAATCAGGGTCACTGATTGGCCATTCATTGTTTCAATTAAGCGCATTTGAAGTCGCGTCATGTCCAATAATTCCGAACTACAGGACCGACGTCGGCGTTAGCTAGCAATTTTGACAAGTTAGTTATCGGACGTCGAAACGCGCAACAACGTCCCAAAAAAGCGACTATAACGTGCACCCTGCTTGGCTCCCTATGGATAGACGAGGATAAACGCACAATAAAAAAAATATTCCACTTCATATTTAATCAAACTTTCCAATTATATATCATAATGGAATTTGTTAATTGAAAATTTATTGACAAAATTGAAGTAAATTCAATTTAGCAATAGGTGTACATCTTTGTTTGTTCAATTTAAACTGTAAATCCCAAAAACCGGTAAATCCTAGATTTTATGCATAAATCTTGAGATGATATGTTTTATTAGGGTGTTGCTATTCATTGTTGGGAATCCTAGGCATTTACATGAAGCTCATCTTGCAACTGGTAATGGCTGCAGAACTAGAACACTGAAAGAGGACAAATACAGAAATATAACTGTGGAGTTTATCGTGTAGTGTTTGTGATAATGCGAATCTTGCCAAAAGAAACACAGCATGCCTAAAAAAGGTCTTGTAGTAAAATCAATCTTATACAGTAACATGATATCAACTACCTGACATATTCACTCTATTTGGAAAACCTAATATACTACATTTTGATAATAAGATCAGAATCTATTTCAACAAACATTAGACATACAAAACGCAGCCTGGGCCTCAACACCAATTTTAACACCAAAACCTAAATCTAATATTTATCCTAAATTCATTAGAGACAAAATTGCAGAAAAACGGAAAGCAAGAAAGAAATGGCAAACCAATAGAATTCCTAGTGATAAAACTAAATTAAATAAAATAACAGCTGAATTAAGAGCATTAACAGATATCCACAAAGATAACGCTATCACTAAGTAACAAGTTGCTAATATACAAGCAAGTATTAAAACCAAAATGGATAATATTTATCTATATTATGGGTAAAGCAGACTGGGAAAAGCTGTAAAACATTATCTAGCTTAATTTGGTGTTAAAAATAAGTAACTAATTAGTATGTATTTACTAGGTGTTATACAATCGTGGTGTACATAATACAAAAAAAAAACACTACGAAAATTCCGAGATCTGCCAATGGTATTAACTAACAACCAGGCTGTAGAATGCTCAAGAGAGGCTGTTAAACATTTTGGAGCATATCTCGATGCCAGACTTCACTGGGCTTTGACATCAACCAAAAACTTAATGAACCTAATATGCGATTAAACCAATTATATACCCTGATATACCGAAAATCACAATTAAAAATAGAGTGCTCCCTTTTACTTTATAAATCACTACTGCGATATTAACTAATGCCAGTTGTGTATGGTCAAACATTTCTAAAACTAATCTGCGTAAACTACAGGCTTTTCAAAATAATATCCTAAGAATAGCAACAAATGGTATATTAGAAACGCTAAGGAACTAAACATGCCACAAATAACAGATTTTTTCACAAGACATAGTGCAAATTCATTAAAAATTTAAAACATTGTGAAGGAGCAACGCATCATTATCTAGGACAGAAAAACATCCACGTTCGACTTAAAAGGAAACTACCACAAGATTTTGTCACCAATAACACAAGTAGCGAAGAGGAGACAACAGAATAACATCAAATAATGCTGAAAAACAAAACATTAATGTCATAAACTATACATGTTGTGTATAACATATAAAAATGTTGGGCCAATACAAACTGACAAATAAAAAAAAACATTTTGATAATGGGAGGCAATTTGTAAATTTTGTTGCGAAGAATTTTGTTCTATGTGTGGAGTGATATCAAAATTGCAAATTTCAGCATTGCCATTCTCATGAGACAAACATATTCAGAATAGAATCACAACTTAATTGGAAACCAAACAGAGCTTATATGAAGGCATTAAGCGTTTACCATACGAGGCACTATTTGGATGTCCAATGAAAATGGAAATAGCTAAGTCAAAACTAGCATCCAATATACTCAAGAGCTTGGAAACTGAAGAAGTGACATCAAACAGTGGTACATTAGAAAATGACATCCCAAATCATAGCGCGAACATTGTATTGTACAATGCTGAATTAAAATTGTAGATATAGTAGTCAAGAGTAGTTCCTGTGCAAAATTTGTTCTGATTAGGAACATTAACAAAAAGTGGAAGTGGGATGACTTTGAAGATGTTAAAACGGAGACATCAAACATGAACGAAGAAAGAAAATTTTTGTGATTATATTATTTAATATGACGACGATTATTTTCACAGAATCAGAGAAGAAACAATCATTACTGTCAACACAACCTCAGTTTACTGGGCATCTTTAAAGACTTGCTCTAATAGATATATTCAATCTATGTATCTTCCTGAAGGTTTTTGTGATATTGGTTGATCATATTCTGCTTATAACAATGGGCCACTTCACCACATCTCCTTCTGTATACTTTAAACTATAACGTGGAATATCTATTTTCATTATAGAAGCATTAAAATTATTTGTAAAGTTGGTATCGTCATTATTTTTTTGTTCTGAAATTGTTTTTAATACTTTCCATAAATTTTTAAGTCCTTTATAACTACTGGATACTGACTGGATATGTTTGCTGGTTGTAGAATGCGAGGAGAGTTGATTACTTAACAGTTATTACCGAAGCAGCAGACAAGGTACTTCCAAACGAGAAGTACCAGAACAAAATGTTTGAAAAAAAACTTGAAAATGAAGACAATTTTCAATTTCTGAAAACGCTTAAAACCAGTTACGAACTGCACATTTATCACGCAACATTCTGCTACAATGTAGTATTTACTAAAATTTACCAAAATCTCTAAGAATTTTTAGGGATTTACATAGATTTTCAAATTTTCTCAGCAATTTCTAGGGATATCTTATTTTTTCTAAACAATGTTCCAAAACTTATGGATATTTAGCAATTTTTAAAGGAAGATCTAACAATTTCTCAATATATTTAACGATTTGGATTATTCGACGAAAATTTTCACCTATATTTTACATGGATTTCCATGGCTATAGAGTGATTCATAAGCATATTTAGGGAATTCTAAAAATGTTCATGAATTCCTGAAGCCATTCCAAATGATGTCCAAGGATTTCTACAGAATTTAGAATTATTTTCAATAATCTAAAGGCTTCATTAAGAAAATGTGAGTCTTCCTAAATTTGACAAAAAATTCCAAGAATTTATTTAAGCTATTTAGGGATAAATAATGAAAGAGAAATGGATTTCTAGATATTTCTACCAAATTTCATCAGAATTTACAGAAATTGCTATGAGTTTTCAAACACAACTGTTTATACCAAGTTCATCATTTACTTTTAGAGGATTTTCGAAACTTTTTAAAGATTTTAGAAGGATTTACATGGATAAACTCATTTTTATGCAATTATAACATTTCCAAGTATTTGTAGATCTTTTCCGTCCTATATTCATATCATGATTAATTAATAAAATATTGGATTTTCTAAGATTCAACAAAAATGTCCAAGAATTTTTAGGCATTTATAAGGATTTTCAAGTATACTTGTTCTTTTTTACAGATTTTATGTAAGAATCTCATCACAAGATTTAATCATCATTCATTTATGTCGAGAAAGCAAACTGATCTAAATTATCATATTTGAGACGACTGATTAAAGACCACTTCAAAGGCTCTAAGTACCTAATTAGCAAAACAATACATTGGTAGTTATAAGAGATAAGAAAATGGAAGTAAATTTAGACAGAATTAAATAAGTTCGAGGGTTTAAATTATTGTTCGTTTCATTTTAGACCATTTTAAAACAATCAATCAAAACAACGGTTAACTAAATAAACTCACAAGCAATTTTTTGGGGCGTGGAGGCGAGCCGTAACTAGCGCTCCCATCTGGCGTCCTATCTTCGAACTAATCAGATTAGGTACTCCATTTTTGCGAAGCGACGCGGCGCTCTCCGTATAAAAGAGCGCCAGCAATCCAATTTAAAAGTCATTTGTACCATGCACGGGAATACCGTTAGCCTTCGTTATTAATAATCATAATAATAATTCGATTTTGGAACCCTGGGCGCCTCCCACCACGCCGCCATCCCTGTCCCGCGCCGAAAACGAATACTCGTTATAAATGAGTTTGCAGAGAGAGCTTTTTAGCGAGCGCTCTTTTTCGCGAAAACGAGTTTCCGTCCAATAAACTTTCGACACTTTAAAAAAAATCGTTCTTTACCTTTTCTCTAATAATAATTACTTTTGAAAGGGAACGGTAAGATTGGCGATTAAAACATCTGCAACTATACAACAATGTTACTTCAAGT